GTGTCAATTTTTTTATGTCGTCAGTTTGCCTTATTGATCCACTCAAAGTTCCACCCGATTCAAGTGGGTCACTCAACTTGACCTCAATCTTTAGTACAAGGAACCCCACTAATGATTTCTTATATTTACGCGAAAACTACACGTTTAAATAATACTAGGTTTTACGGAATTTATCGCGTATATTAAGTATTAACCTATTTTATGTGTAATATATATGAGTTACTTACCATCCAGTTGACCATAAGTTTTTTTGTTACTACTCGTATAGTATTGCTTACTCGGCCAAGTGCGAGTCGGAGTCTCGCATGAAGGGTTCTGTACCATCGTCATAACACGTTTCTAGTCCCCCCCCCCTTGAAAACCCCCCTTGAATTTATAATTTATTAACGAGTCAGGTAAAAAGGACTAATTTTTACGATAGGTATCCAATTAGTACAAATACTTAAGAATTAAAGTTATATTTAAGTTAATTTCTGATCGTTTTAAGGTAATACTGTTAAGTTTGTGCAATTAACAATAATAAAAAAAATTGATTCTCAATAATAATAATAGTAAGGTTAAAAAAATATTTTCTATTGTTGATTGAAAATTTTGTTCTACATTTTTTCACGATCATATGAGCATTATGAGTCGTGCATTTTTGGGTTTATCAAACTTTTTTTATTGAAGTTAGACATAAAATTATCGGAAAGTTAAAAGTAATAGTTATAATATTACTTAATATTAGATTATTTGTGAATACTTGTGTCTATTTAAAATACTTTAAAAAATTGACGTATAACATGAGCGCTTGAGGCATGCACATTTGGATTTACCAAAGTTTTTTTATTATTATTTGTTCTCATAGCGCCATTAGAAACTAAGCATTAGGCTCGTAGGAACATTTTAATTGTCGACCTATTACGGATCATGATTCATGAGATACAGCCCGCTGACAGGCTTACGGACGGACGGACAGCGGAGGCTTAGTAATAGGGTCCCGTTGGTTACCCTTCGGGTGCGGAACCTTAAAATAATATTTTTCTAATAAAGCTAAAGAAAATAATGTTTTAAATTTGAAAGTGTTACTTATATTGTTTAATTAGGAATGATAAAACATTCATTGAAATGGAATTACAGTATACATATAACTTTCAAATAAATTTGTCGGTACGATACGCGCACCATTCACTACAAGTTAATTGTACAATGCCTATAACCTTCGCGCAAGTGCAAGCAATAAGTTGACAATAAGTTTCAGAGATATGCCAGCGCAAAATATAAAAACAAATGCGGATCAAATGTCGCCAGCTCTAAGCTCGCACCTTATCAGCGCCCCTCTGGTGGCCAAATATTATAAATTATGCAATATACTACACTGTTACAAATAAACTATATTATTTGCAATAGTATTGTATATTATTGACTGCATTGTTGGTCTAGTGGTTGTAGTTGTGTGACTGATGATCATGAGGTCCTGGGTTCGAATCCCGGGTCGGGCCAAAAAATCAATTATTGAGTTTTTCTGTCAAGATATTCTCAGTAGCTGCCCGGAGTCAGGAAGTTGGCGGTGTCTCACCCCCGTGCCTCGGAAAGCACGTAAAGCCGTTGGTCCTGCGCCTGATCTCTCTCTGGTCGTGTCGGTTTATCGTCCCATCGGATTATGAGAGTGAGGGAATAGAGAGTGCACCTGTGCTTGCGCATACACTTGGGCACTATAATCCTGTCCTACGCCGATGGCTAGCCTCGTTGAGGCAGGCCGCCGTGGCCGGAATTCGGTCTGGAGGACATAATTATTATTATTATTAAACTATATTATACTTTATAATATAGTTTAATAATATAACACTATATAATTATAACACTTGTACTCATCACAAGTGGGCTTGAATGAAAAATGTGATGAGGGAGTAACGGTGATATTGGAGGTTGGAATAATCAAGTCGACGATTTTTTTTTTGTTTAAAACATGGAGTATAGAGATATAAGTTTCACGCCTTTTTTAATCTTTCACGCCTTGTGACACGTGCCTAGTTTGCCTTAAAATTAATCCGCCACTACAAACATCAATTAAAAGTAGTTTGACGGCTACGTAGCGCAATGGATGAATGTTTGGTGGTGGCGCTGCCAGATGCGGGTTCGAATCCCGCGCGGAACAAGTGTTTGTATGGTCTACAAATAATAGTTCCGAGTCATTATGTTTGTCTACAAGTGTATAATAAAGTATGTTTCATTTATTCATAAAGTTAAATTTACTGCATATATACGTCCTACTGCTGGGCACAGTTACCCTCTCATTTCTGAGAAGGTTTTAGGGCAGGGAAATGTCAACCGCGCTGCCCCAATGCGTGTTGGCGAACTTCACATATCTTCGAATGTTTTTTTCTTCTTATTTCTCAGACATGCCCGATTTCCTCACAGTGTTTTCCTTCACCGCTGAGCGCGTGGTAAATCAGCACTCAGCAATTCTAATTAACAATTTCATTGGTGCCGACGGAGATCGAACCCGGGTTGCTCGCGTACTGTAAAATTTAAAGCATTTAAATCGTTAATTCATTTATATATAATAATGGATGAAACATCCGCAAGAGAAAACGCGCATTTAAACGCATTTTAGAGAAAATATCAATGTTTATATGAGATTTCTTAAGGTCTCTAAATAAAGTAAAAGTCGAGGTCAGGCCCCATTCACCACAAGCTGTCGTGACTCATTCGCGAATTATTAAAAAAAATCCTCGACAACAGGCGGCGCATCGTGCCGCTCTCATGCCGCTCTCACCCGACCCCAGATAGTCGATAACCTACAGACCTCTTCAATGTCGAGCCAATGTCGCCGCGTCCGCTGTGCGATAATATGTCCAGGAAGTGGCTTTCTTGAAAAACTATTCCACGTTCATGACAACCTGGTTCTATTGTAGTTTTCATTACCTCTTCTTTTTTTTATAGGATAGGGTGACAAACGAGCACACAGTCCACCTGATGGTAAGTGGTTGCTGTGGCCCATAGACATCTACATTTCTATCCTCGTATGCGATTGAAAATGCAGATGCGTTGTCACCCGTGAGGACTAAGATGGAACGCCTCGTTTCCAGCAAAAGGGTCTCCGGTTCTCTAGACTCACCATACGAAACACAGCAGCATTAAGCTATATTTTGACGCTGGTATTCTGTGAGAGCGTAGTCCTTCCCCGATCGAGCCGACCCATTCGTGCTACGACTATACTACTAATATAACTGCAGCATGGCTCCACCACGTAGAGTTTCTCATGTTATTTGGATGAATCTATTTTCTAAGTTGGTATTCGTGAGAGCTTGGTCCTTCCCCGGTCGAGTCGATTCATTCGTGCTACAACCATAATATAGTTGCAGCATGACTCTACCACGTAAAACCTTATTCTCATATATCTTACTCCGAACTAGCGACATCTAGTGAGCGTAAAATTATTAGTCATCATTCAAAATGCATGTTGGAAACATGCTGAAAAAAAAAACTGGCGATCTAGCGCGTCATCCAATCGATATGTTTTGGGATATTTTATACCAAGGGGCTTACTCCCAATTTGAAATTTCTATTGTATTTTTTAAAATTTAATAGCTTACCCCGGCTTCGCATGGGTGATTTCTAGATCTCGAAAACAGCGCTGCCTACCGGCCCTAATTTTAAATCTAAACCAGGTCCAGCTGTTAAGAGGTGAGAGTAAGTCAGCTCAAATTCTAATTTCGCCCCCACTTCCCCTCGCGTCGTATGTTATGTACCGACATGTTTGTAATCACTAATACTCTAAGTAGATAGATAGGTCGTTAGATACTTATTTAATTATGTTATCATATATATGCCTGTTTCTTAACGCCAACCCAGTCGCTTCTTATTTTTATAACGGTTATTTCCCATTTTAATTTTACGTCTTCCTGTTGCGTAATGTGTTTTCTGATCGTAAGCGACACAACTTCTCCCTTCAAAAGCCGGAGCAATACTAACGGAGCGACAGGAACCAAGCTTACGCGCCGATAGTTTAGGTAATTTCTTTTTACAGTGAAAATAATGATATTTTAAAAAAAGTAAATAACATAAGCACTGCTTTATGGTTAGTTCAGTTAGTATGCAAAGTTTCATGATCTTATTTAAAGTATTTTATGAATAACAGCGGTTTATTGTTCAGTTTGGAGGTAACTTTGGATTTTTTTTCTATCGAGAAAATTTTACGGAATCGTGTTTTCGTCTAACATAAACCTTAACATTAATCCTCAACTTTACCATATATTTATTTCAAAATTAATGTTGCAATACTTTCGGCATAACGGAGGATCTTGCTAAGCCATTTGAGGTTATATTTCCCCTTAAGGGGACTACAATAGCCAAGTGACCTCGAATGATCCACGCACACATTTACACAATCAAGTGAACGCCATCTAACGACACTGGGGTTAAACTAACGGAATAGCGAGGTTACCCCCGAGTGTTTTAATATTAGATAAGATAACAAGTAAGATATAGGTCGAATAAACAATGAGATAGTGAAATTATTTTCAATGTTTCTTTTTTGTTATTTGATTGTTACTTGAAAATTTAAGGATGTTGGTGATTTTACAATAAAACTGATTCGAACTTAAAAACAAACTTTAAAAAACATTTTTAATTAAGATCCCTATTCAAAAAAATGTCGAAGTGACGCCCTTTATCATACATATTATACATCTTTATGATTTACATAGGGCTTTTTTAGATTTAAATTATTCCACATTTAGTTTAACCCCTTCGGACCTGAATTTATATAAAGCATCAATAAAAATATTGTCAAGGTTTTTCTGTGAGTTAGAAGTGTAATTAAGGGATTTTTGTAAAAATATGCGATTTATCGTTTTCAGATTTTTGGAAATTTTGATGTCCACTCAAGTGGACATCAGGTTTAGAGTGTTGTATTAATACATATTTAATGAATTAATATTTTGAAGTAAGTCAGTAAAACTTAGTAATATTATTATAATAGTTTATTTTTTATTTAACATTTTACACTGTAAGGATTATTCTTGTTTTTGATGAAATTTTCGAAAGCAATTTCGCTCACCAGTAAAACACAGATGTATTTCACATTTCAGACAGTAAACATGCGTCTTTCCTTTACATCCTGGATTTTTACATCTTGTAGCCTCTTTCTTTTGATCATATTCTGGCAAATGGTCAACAGTGTCATACTGAATTTCGCTCGCTGGTCTTATTTCAGTCCTGAAACGGTGTTGTTTTGGTGTAACTGGTGAATTTACTGGACTGCTACCACCAGATGCGGGCCGTCCTCTTTTTCTGCTAGGAATTGGATGCCCAATTTTTATTAGAGCTTCTGCAACGCGCTGCCGAAAGTGCAACAAATCCAAAACGTCTGTACTTGGTATATTACAGATTTTGCAATCTTCTTGGTATTCCAGCCAGCTATTGGTTAGTGCTAGGTCAATGGCGTGAAATATCATACGCAATGTCCATTTTTTGGATCTAATGGAGATTCGATACAAACTAATCAGATGATCGGTTTTATCTACACCGCCCATACCATTGTTATATAATTGCACAAGTTCAGGAAGCGGTATAGTTACGTAATTTTTAGATATTTTATTCCATCGTCGAACTTCATCTTGATTTCCTATTCCAACAAAATTTGAAGCAAGTACTACATACACCTTTGTTGTCAATCCACTTGATAACAACCACATCTTTAGTATTATTCGTAACTTGATCAGTGTATCCCCTATCTTTTTTTGATCCTTCCTTGTCAGTTATGAGTGGCGGTTTTCCAAAACGATTTATTCTGATCGTTCCTCCTGCATAAATTTTCCTCTCGCGAAGATCCTTCAGCAAAACGTAATTGGAGAAATAATTATCAAAGAAGAGGTAATGACCAGACCTATTTATTCTCTTTGACAAGGCATTTACATAAGCAGCAGATGTGCCATATTTCAAAACGTCATTTTTGTCTAGATTTGTAGTTGCGCCTTGATAAATAATAAAATCATAAACTAATCCACTCTTACCGCAAATCATAAATATCTTTACACCCCATGGCTGTGGTTTTCCTTTGACATATTGTTTGATTTCAAGTTTTCCTCGAAAAGGTACAATCTGTTCATCAACGCTCAATATTTGCTCTAATTTTAGTTATAGACATCGTTTTCTAACTGAATCATATAAAGGTCGAACTTTAAAACAATCGGTGTTATTTTGTGGAATAGAATTGTTATCAATTACATGCAAATTGTTTCTTATCTGAAGAAATCTATCTCTGGCCATGTTCTCTAAAAATATTTTCATATCTAAACTGGAATCCCAATACAAATGAATACGAGGAAACTTTAGGGTACCCATTATGATATGAAGGCCGAAAAATATTTTCATTTCTGTTGAAGTACATGGCTTGAAATTACGGACTTCATTTCTCACCACATACAAATTTGTATTGAATGTAAAATCTTCAATTAGAGACTCTGATATATATTTAGAAAAATAAAATGGGAACGCGAGGTGAATCAATTTCAGATGGTGGTGGCGCTGACCAAATGAATTGTGGTGGTTCAAGCTGTAAATGTTTTCTCCATATTATTTCATTTTTAGGCTTACTACTTGATCCGGGTCTAGATTCTACCTCCTCTAAGTCTTCTTCCCCTACTATATCGTCCTCCTCTTCAGAGTGATTACCTATCTCTCTTTCGGTTGGTAGCGTTATGTTACTACCTACACGAACATTTTTTTGTGGTATTGCCTGTACAATTTCATCGTCACTCTCTTCTTCGAGATCCGACATTGTTCCGTTTTCTAATAAATTGAGTAAATTATCCATATCTTGCCTGTTAGATAGATCAAAACCTAAAAAGGAATAAAAATAACATGTAAAATTCAATACAAAGTTTTATTGTAAATACGTTTGGTTTACAACGATTGTGACCCCATGTCCACTGAAATGGACATCGACTTTATCTTCAAAATTATGAAAACAACCGCATATTTAGTATTTTTTTTAAATGTATATCTTAGCTAATATGATCACTATGCAGAATAAAAAATATCTAAACAATCGATCAAATCGTTTTGGAGTAAATAAAATAACACTAAAGACTTACTCGCATTGCGCGTATCCATGGCGAACGTCAACACTTGACTAATTAACTAATTATTTCATTCTACCTACAATAAATCCTTTGGTGTTTTGTTTATCGTAACGTTTCTAGGTAAGTGGTCGGTACAATCAAATGTTTACACTAGCGTTTTTATTAATCTACCTCATATTTCATGCAATAATAATACGTGTCAATTGAAATGGACGCTGGGTCTGAAGGGGTTAAGGTTCACAAGATGGTAATTTTGCATTTCGTTTATTTTTTGTATTTGATTTTGAAAAATTGCTAAGCTACAAGTAAAAGAACTAATATTTTTACACAAATATAATTACTATTTATTATAAACAAAATCAATAAAACTAAATTCTTCCTTGTGATAAGTCACATCGCTAGTTTCAGATGATTCTGTTATTTCGTCATGTTTATTATCTTTAAACCGCGGTCTTTTAACGAAAACATTAAGTATTTTATATAGTTTTTTATTGTTATTATAGCTTAAAAAAGTTGTAGGTACTTATGTATCCGTGTTGATATTTTCATCTTTCTTTCTCCTGTAAAAAAAATTACATTTCAAACTTTTTTATTTATTTATAAAAGTGTTTAATAAATTTATCTAAATTATAAAGAAGAAAATTTACCTTTACATTCCTGGTATCGAACCCGGGCGAACTCTCGAGTGCAAACTGCAAATCCATACCTCCACCAAATAGGTACACGTTAGTTGAATACTCAAACACTACTGTAATAAACTACGTATCTAAAATTTATAGGTTTAAATTTATTTAGTAAATTTATTTATATAAATCTTAATATATATAAATTACGTGTCACGTTGTTTGTCCGCGATGGACTCCTAAACTACTTAACCGATTTTAATCAAATTTGCATACCGTGTGCAGTTTGGTCCAACTTGAGAGATAGGATAGTTTTCTGCCCGTGAGTGACCCACAATTTTTTTTTAATTTAAGGATTTTTAATGGGACATGACAAAGGGTCGTCGAAAAGGCTAGAACAACGTCTGCCTGGCAAGCTAGTATGTATATAAAAGACAAAAAAGATAATTTGACTTTATATTCCCGGAATCAAACCCGGGCGCTTTTGAGTGCAAACTACAAATGCATACCGCTGCCAAATACGTGTAATATAATAAACTACGTTGCTAAAATTCATAGGTTTATTGTTATAAAAATAAATATTTAGTAATAATAAAATGTTCCCACCTTTTAATACCGTTCATACATATTATGTCGAGCGTTTGATTTATAATTTGAAAGTTTTTTTGCACTTCGTAACGGGTTTTACATTATGTCCCATATTTACAAATGATAATTATTAGCAAAGTACATTACTATGCTATTTTATCTTAAAATATTTGATATCGACATATACACGAGAGAAGAATATTTATGGAAAGGAAAATATTTTTCAAACAGTTAATAATTAAATACGTAAATACTGGCTCAAAAAGAGTGACACGTCTATATAACATTAGGCCGCAGTGTATGTACACAGGCGTTTACGCACACATCCGTACGTATTATTTCAGAAATAAGAATATTCTATACCTTTAAACGAGCAATTCTTGTATATACATATATATAATCGGAATCTCGGAAACGGCTCCAACGATTTTCATAAAATTTTGTATCCAGGGAGCTTCGGGGGCAAGAAATCGATCTAGCTAGGATTTATTTTTAGAAAATTTTTTTGTCCGTTTTTTCAGGCAATGAAAAACTGCTACAATATAAGAAGGTAAATTTTGACACCGTTAATCGTAGATCGTAATGGCTCAAGTGTATATAGAGCGGCCGCGAAATCGTAATGCCTTGGTTCGCGTCCCGTTTTCGGTCCGAGTTTTTTTTTTCCTTTTTTTTCGAGTTACCTTCTTTTGTGAGAAAATCTATTATTTCGAGCCCTTTTTTAATATTTTTTAGAAATACGAAAATTTTAATTAAACTAATTGCCCGTTGATTTTTTATTTAAATAACCAGTTCAGTTTTTTCTATTATGTCAATAAGATCAAAAAATATTATTCATCAGTACGTAATTTGTATCTAAATGTAATTTAAAAAAAACCGAGCAAAGCTCGGTCATCCGGGTACTGCGATTTAAAAAGAATCAATTAATTGGACTAAAAAATTAAAACAACAATAACTTAATATGTTTAACATTTGACAAAAATCAGAATGATTGCATTTATATTAGCATGGTTTTTACTCGTTAAAATAAATTTTAGCGATATCTTTAGCGGTAGATTTTTTTCTATCGTATCAAATTATTAGTATCATGTTTTCAACACAACAGTTAACTAACATATATCAAGAAAAATATCGTATATTTTCTGGTTTTGTTTACTACAGTGGATCATATACTTTGAGACATTATAAAACTTGCGTTTAGCTCCTGTAGTCTCCTTGAGAGGAGTTCGGTCACACGGGCAGAAGAATTATATATACTATAGTCAACCAAATCTAAGAAATACCTTTTGACGTTTCACATTAATCATTCCGCAATAACTTTGCACAAGCGTACTCACACGATTTAAAGTAACCTTTTGCGTAAATCCCAAGAATTATGCAGCTATCTATATTTCATTACAACGTGGAAATTTTTTTGTCACTAATTTAAATTAGAATTTTTCAAACAAAGCAAAATATTAAAAAATTACCAGTATTAACTTTTTTTACTTGACGTTGTTGCAATAATATGTCGCTATGTATATTACAGTAGTCTTTGGATAATTAAAATTCATTGTTATGCGAATAATCGGCAAAATATTCAAATAATCGGTAAAAATATCCTATTAATCGAATCATTAATTCCTTTAATGTATTATTTGCTTAATTTAATTTTTATTTTCAAAATTCTTTAAATTACATGAATCATTAATAATGAGCTGTGGTAGCTCAGATGGTAAGCGCTCGCTAGTAGTTCGCTGTAGTACGCGAGCAAACCGGGTTCGATCCCCGCCGGCACCAATGAAATTGTTAATTGCAATTTTAAATGCTGATTTACCACGTGCTCGGCGGTGAAGGAAAACATCGTGAGGATACCTGCATGTCAGAGAAATAAGAAAAAAATATTTCGAAGACATATGAAGTTCGCCAACACGCACTGGGGCAGCGCGGCGGACAATTCCTTGCCCTAAAACCCTCAAATGAGCGGAGGCCTGTGCCTAGCAGTGGGACGTATATAGGCTGTCTAACTATTAATAAAACAAGTTTATTTTTTTTACTTTGTCAAAGTAAATTTGTGTAGGCAAAAGCTCATATACATGGCCGTGCTAAAATAACCACAACATAATTTCAATATCCCGCCATTTCGGTAGCGGTTACTCGACTCCACAGAATCAGTAATTCATTCTTGAGGCGATGTATACGCTTTTACAACAAAATCCCAGAAAATGTACAAAATTTGACGTAGGTACACAAAATTCAAAAACTTCATAAACCAAGTTTGTATAAAAAGGGTTATTTTAATATTAAGGAATTTATGGATGATAATAACCCCTGGGAAGGGTGATCGCTACCAAGCTATTTCTAATTTGTTTTGTGTTGTTAATTGTAACACGCATGATTCGACACGCAATCATGCGACATTTATTACTTATCAGTAAAATTAAATACAACAGAATTCAAGTAAATCTCCATAAAAAAGATATAATCAACTTTTTGACAGAGTATTGGTTAAAATGTGTTTGTAGAGCGTTTATGGATAAGGATGTTAGTATCCATGCATGATAAAAATGCCGATAGAAATTTAAAAAAAACTTTGTAGAGAAGTAGCAATCAATACCAATTCTTCAAATGAAAAATCAATCTTTCACAACACTAAACACGTTAGTTTCGAATAACTGTCACGGTGCGTATGCATTAAACTCCCGTCCGTGTTGACAAACAACCACGTCCCGTCCCCGTCCCGTGCACGTTATGATTCCGTCCTGTATGCAGCGACCTTAAATTATCCGTTTTTAATTTATTCTGGTATTTTTCAAACCAAACTAACTGTAAATGTTTACCAACTCTAAATAATCGATATCGATTTTTTTTTAAGAATCGAATATTGTACGTTCCAATTTTTTGGTTGGCATGCTTAGTGCAATAAGTCTGACAGCTGTCAAAATGTATTTCTTAGATTTGGTTGACTATTGATGACCTTTTTTTACGAAAATTGACGATTTCAATTTAATTGCTTTCAAGTTATTTTTAATTCCTGACATTTCAAGCGGTCAGTTATCGGTTCAGCATCAGTTATGGTCGAGTCGAGAGGTTACACACTCACGCGCTTACGCTCGATCTACACATAATCAACTTAATGTATCTTGGATTCTTGCTGTGGTGTGCTTGAGTTTGGACTTAATTTTATCGATTACTAGCGATCCTCACCGGCTTCGCACATATGATTTCTGGACCACCTGCCGGCTCCAAATCTGAATCTAAACCATCCAGAGACCCATTCAAACAAACACAAACATTTTCATCAAAATTGGTCAAGCCTTCTTTTGAGGTTTACCGAGACTAATGCACAGCAATTAATTTTTATTTATAGAGTCCCAAAGTCCCTTTAACACGGTGCTATGATTCTTTTTCAGAGTTTTTTGCAGGGATGGGAGATATGATAAGGATATATACGTGGTAGAGCCATGCTGCAGTTATATTAGAAGTATAGTTGTAGCAGGAATGGATCGGCTCGACCGGGGAAGGAACACGCTCTCACAGAATACCAGCGTCAAATTATAGCTTAATACTGCTGTGTTTCGTATGGTGAGTGAAGAGAACCGGAGATACTCTACTGGAAACGAGGATTTCATCTTAGTCCTCAGGGGTGACAACGCATCTGCATTTTGATTCGTAATCGAGGATAGATGTAGATGTCTACGGGTCACAGCAACCGCTTACCATCAGGTGGACTGTGTGCTCGTTTGTCACCCTATCCTAAAAGAAAAAAAGGTATAAATCTACTACTAAGTGAACGCAGGAAATAGAGTAAATGGGGGCCTACACTCTATTGTGGAAAGTCAGA